TGTTGCCTAATTCAGTGGTCCTCATTGGGCCAACGATATCTAATTGAATGGTCTGGAAAACTCGTGAACTTGTACTAGTGATAGCAAGAGGTTGTTTAATGTGGTGATTCGATATTTTGTTGCGCTGGCAAGAATCGCATTTTTTAATATATTCCTTTACTTCTTTCTTAAGCCCTTTTCAGTTAAAGTATCGCTTTATTTTTTTAATTGTCTTATGTAGACCTAAATGGCCACCGGCAAGCTTTGAGTCATGATATTGCGCGAAAATAGTACGTTTTTCTTCCGGTGTAAACTCTAAGCGTGAACAAATAATAATATTTATGTCGGTATCACGGAAAACATACCGTATCATTGACCTTACGTGTGACCAGTCTACGTCGTCATCATGACTTAATTTATTCATGGCTAGTTTGCTTAAGTTGTTTTCTTCACAGAACTGCCGAAATGCTACTAACGATAAAAACAGGTTTTCACACGTCGTTACCTGCTGATCGCGTGTTTTCGTTATTAAGAATATAATATATCGGTCGTTATTTTTTATGAAAGTCGTTCCCCCAATATCACCTGCCTGTACGTTTTGGTCGGCTCCGAATTTTTGTTTTAACTGGTAGTTAATACCGGTTCTAAAATTAAATTGCTTCGCGATCTCTGACACTATGTGATATTCGTCGGGTGCGTCTATTAATTCCCCCGTTACTTCGGATACATTTTTATTAGTAATCAACTGTGTTTCAAACTTTTCAAAGAAAACTGGGTACGTTAAGTCTTTAACTTCCGTAATACTGTATACTCGGCTTAGCGCGTCTACGTTCGAATTTTGTACTCCCGGCTTATAACGTATTTCATAATCGTATTCTTCTAATAATATTCGCCAACGGGCTAATTTTGATAAAGGGTCTTTTAAGTTGAAGAGCCACTGCAAAGCTCTGTGGTCTGAATATATTGTGAACTTTCGTCCATAGAGATAAGGCCTGAACGTTTTTACCCCAAATACTATTGCTAAACATTCGAGTTCGGTTATTGAGTAATTACTCTCACTTTTATTTAAAGTCCTAGAGGCATATGCTATAGGCTTTTCTTCTTTAGGCTCCCCCTGTGACAATATAGCTGCCAATCCCTTTAGACTAGCATCCGTAGTCAATATAAAAGGCCTAGTAAAATCTGAGTATTGCAAAACAGGTTCTGAACATAGCGCGTTTTTTAATGTATCTAATGCTTCCTGACAACTTTCTGTCCATATGAATTTTACCCCTTTTCTTAATAGATTAGTTAATGGTTTTGCAATGCTACTATATTTATCAATAAATTTTCTATAGAAACCTGAGAGACCTAAAAAGCTCTTAATTTCTTTGGCGTTCTAGGGACAGGGAAGTTTAGAACCGCTTGGACCTTCGATTGGTCCGGACGAATACCATCAGCTGAAATAACATGCCCGAGGAATGCACATTCCCTTTGAATAAAATGGCATTTATCTGGTTGAATCTTTAAATTATGCTGTCTTAACCGATCGAAAACGTCACGTAGCTTAGAGTTATGCTCGGAAAGCGAGCTCGAATACACGATTATGTCATCCATGTAGAGCAATGCCTTAAGTCCTATTAGCCCTGATAGTACTGTAGCCATAAGACGTGAAAAGGTCAAAGGGCTTCCTTTTAAACCCATAACTGTACGATTGAAAATCAGATGACGAGCACCGTGTCTGGAGTTCATTACGGTGAATCCAGTGAGTTCCCGTGACGCTTCTGATAAGGGAATTTGATAAAATCCCGATGCTAAATCTATGACGCTAAAAATCTGACTTCGGCCTAATTGGTCAAGTATCTCGGTAATATTAGGTATTGGATAGAACTCATCTAATGTAACTGCATTTAGCCCCCTAAAATCAACTACTATACGGTACTTTTGAATCCCACTAGCGTCTAACTTTTTCTTTACTAACAACAGTGGTGAATTCCAAGGAGAGAAGCTTTCCTGTATTATCCCGTCCTTTTCCATTTGCGTTACCTGTCTACTTATTTCTTCTTGCTGCGCGAAAGGCAATCTATACGGTCTTAGGTACACGGGCTTTTGATCTAGTTTTATTCTAATTTCGTGTTCTATTGTATTAGTACAAGATAATTTATCTCCCTCTAAATGAAATATATCTGCATAATCCCCACATATTCCTAAAATAGATTCTTTTTCCTCAGCGTTCATATGATCGCTCCTAATTAATGTTTTAATCTTATTCACCCTGTCTTCTTCGATATTTTCTACATTAATATTGTAAATACTATAACTGGTTTGTCCTTCATAAGTTATTTTACTTAAATCGTGTCTACTTAAACATGTCTCGGTTTCCGCGATATTTAATAGTCCTACTATAAACCCACCATCCTTGACAAGAGAAATCGCGCTGCTACAATATACGTCTTTAACCAATTCTTGTTTATGTATTAATATCTCCTGCCCGTCCAAATCAGCTATTGGTACTGTTATGACCGTCTCTGACCTCGGCTGCAGTATTATACTGTCATCATTATTCTTGGCTACCTGCCTATTCCCCGTATCGCTTAGTTTCGCGCTACCTACATTGTTTATTATCCTGTCATCTAAATGTAACTTATTACATATACTTTCTACTAATTTATTTACATTACTATCATTATGAACCCCGTCTATATCGACTAAGTCCTTGTTCCGTGACTCAATACATTCCAATGTCGTGTTCTCTACACTCATATCCCCTGCGTCATTCGCATTTAAACTTATTTTACTACCTTTGTCATTTATTTCATCATAACTAATATTCCTATCCTTTTCATTCTTACCTAAAGCAAGGTGCTCAATAATATTCGCCGCTTGATGCGAACATGATACACCTTGACATAATCCATTATTATTATAATCATTTTTTACACTTTTTTCTGCTAAGGGGAATTCAACTATAGCCTCACTTAATTTATTCTTACTTGCTATATTCCCATCAACTTCATTTTCATCAACTATACTCTCATTGACTATACACTCATCAACTATATGTTCCCCATTAACCATTAAAACACTCTTAATATCTGTTTCACATAACATATTTTCCCCAATTACTTTGCTATCTATTTTCAAACTTTCTTCACATAATACTTCATTATTCTCAACTATACTTAATTCTTTTTCACTTTCTAAAACATCATTTTTTCTACTTTGCTTACCATTTTCACTTAAAACATCATCATTATCATTTATCAAAAGAACATATTACCCATATCTATCACCGTGTGATTTTCAGTAAGGAATTTTCCCCAAAATACCATCTTCCTGCATTATACAATTGTTACCTACTAAATTAAATTCTGTATATATTTCCTTATTATTAATTATTATCGGAATAACTATAGTACCATACGTTGGTATATTTTTTTCATGAATTCCCTTAAGATAAACTTTATTTAATTCGTTAACCATAATATCATCTTTTACCGTGCTAATTTTTAAAATATTAATCTGAGAGCCAGTATCGACTAGCAATTGAAAATTATCGTTTTTGCTAGCGTTACTATTACAAAAAATATGCTTATTAATCATTGTCGTTCGAGTGATTCTAAAGCAGTCTGAGATTCCACGGCTATTAGCTTGACGACGCGCGTCCCGTGATTCGCGGTCGGTTCCTGAAAATTTTCTGCTTTAATCGCGGCGCTCCCCATATTTGCACGTTTCGCGTCATTTTCCCTTTTATAGCAAACAGACTCCCCGTGCCCGATTTTGCCACAATAATTACAGACAATGGGACCCGCATTATTCGAATTAAAATTTCCCGATTGATAATTAGTATTTTGCATATTTTGCTGAGGTGGAGGTCTATTATTATCATTGCCATTGTTAGTGTTTAATCTACAATTATAGGATAAATGACCTACTTGATTGCAAATCCTACAACGTCTATTATCTACATTAGGACGATTATCATTAAAATTGTTACCCCGATTATTATTTTTGCCATTATTCCTTGGTGACTGAAAACCCCCATTCCCGTAGTTATTTTGACCCGTATTAAAATTATTCCCTGCGTTTTGCGATTTAAACATATCCTGTACCCCTCTGTAAGTGATCAAGTCCTTTTCGGCTAGGACTGCGGTTTGCATAGCACTATCAAGTGTAAGAGGATTTTTAGTTTTAACTTCAAATTTAAGTTGTTCATTTAACCCATTAATATAACTAACCAGAGCCTGTGTTTTTACATTTTCATTTATAATTTTCGCGTCTTCCTTTGATTTCCCCGCGGCTAAAGCGTTACATAATTTTTGATAAACTTCATCTACCCGTTCATTATAACTATTAACTGTTTCATTTTTGTTCATTCTTATTATATTTAATTGAATTTGTAAATTAGCCGCTGCAAAAGGTGTTTCAAACGCGTCAAGCAATGATTTTTTCAACTCCTCCCATGATGCTAAAGTTTTATATTTAGTACAATTAAATGCACGGCCCGTTAGCTTGGTGCTTATAACCATTTTTAACAAAAGCGGTATTTGATCGGCATTAACTGAATTAATTATTGCCTCACATGCATTTAAAAATTGATAAATATCCGTTTCACCGGAGTATTTAGGAGTTAAATGTAACGCGTCCGTTAAACTTAAAGTGGGAGTTAAAGACATCGTTGCTTGATTAGTTTCTATTTCTGGTGTATTAACCGTAGCTGTTGTGTTAATGTCTTTTACCTTAGATTTTGTTTTCCTAACCGTTTGTAGTTCAACATGCACTACACCTTGTGTACTCCTAGTTAATCACCTATCTGCTTCCCTAAATGTTCTGTTCAAAAGGTCTATCGGGTCGGTTTCAGATTCCTGATTAATAATAATAGAACTACCGTTACTGTCGTCTAAATTAATTAAATCAATTTCATTAGATTCTAACGTAACCTCAGATAAATCTAATTCTTCCTTAACATGAGAAGTGCCTAACTGCTTATTATTACTCATACAATCAACTTAATTAACTTATTTTATATTCTTATATTATAGATTACTCACAATAGAGCGTTCATGTTGAGTCGTCTGGTCGTGTCAAAGAGCGTTGAAGATCAAGAAGCGTTGGAATTTCTTCAATTGGTCTTCGGTGTGATGCTGGAAATGATCAGTCCCGCCTTTTGACAATCGTACCGCACTGCACCAGTGTAAAGTTCTCGCAAGTCTGTGGCCTTTGGAGACTCAGTACACAAAAGTTCAAGAAGGAAGTTGGAAGGTTTTTAAATGAAATGAATACTTTCAATCAAAAATAAGGTATGATATGTATTATAACAAGCATTATTTTAATACACAGACAGTAAAATGAGTGTTTTGTTTCAGGTATATCATAGATAATACGCAGCCAGAACACTCTGACTCGCTCTGGTGAAACGGCTGGTATTTACGCAAAATGGCCATCCGGTTCGAGTGGTAAGAGTCCTTCGCATCTCCGCATCGGTGACCTTTTCCCAGTTGTGCAATCGCCAATCCTCGAGTCCGGGTTGTTGGTGAATTGCTAAGCTGTCTACTGTTAATTGCGGAACATTGTCCGATAGATGATTTATACAATATTTAATGGGTTTGTTTGTGCGTTTTTACAATCTTTAGTTGTACAAAGTATATGATTTCTTATGGTTGCATAAATAAATTGGCTTTTACAATTTATAATTGGATTTTACAATTTATGACGTTGTTTACCTTTTGGTTACATATAAAGTATAGAATAACTCATTTAGGTCGTGCACATTATTAATATTCAAGGAGAAATCGGTTATGTCGTAAATTTGGCTGGATTCAATAATCCATTACACCTTATATTTATTTTCATTTTTTCATTGCTCTAAAGGTTTTATTTGCTGTACTAATGATCAGCATTCGTTTAGTTCAATGTAATAAAGATGCATACGTGTTTTCATAAGTTAATTTAGCTTAATAGTCTATTTTTTTTGAGTTTTTATAAAGCCTGTTTTTGTGCTGTAAGTAAATTCTTATCATTTTTATTAATTTTGTTGTTTACCAATTGTTGCTAACATCCAATTATTGGAGACTTAAACGCTAAGCTACATCAAGAAAAAATATTTTCTTTGGAATGGCTGGTGTCCCAGCAAATTCGCAAAAAAATGGTGATACACCAATAATACTGGATACCACTGCCCGAAGGTTCTTCCTCTAATTCCTTGAATCAAGTATCAAATGATGTATTTTGTGCGATTACTTCCTTGCAGTCTAAGCAAGATGAAATGTTAGGCCAAAGTAAAACTTTTGCAGCCTCTCAGTTACTCAACTTAATGACTTGAAGAGTTTAAACTTCTTATCTAGTCAAATAACCGAACTTAAGGCTGAGAACGCTAGCCTTCGTGGAGATATTGGAATTCTTAAAGATAAAGTAATAGAACGGTAGTTTTTAATTTTAGATGGATCTCTCTTTTTTAAACGAGGGTAAATTGTACCAATTTTTTAAGCACTCTGGAAAAACACCTTAATTTAATGATTTCTTAAATATAAGCCAGAGATGCCAACAAAGAGAAAATCTGAGTTTGTAAAGGAAATCCCATCAGGCCCATCCTTATTGACTCCGCGAAGCATATTTAAAATAGATAAGACTTCGTCGAGAAACAAGATTTATACTTATTGTACATGTGTTTTATGTGAAAATATAATTTTTCAGTAAATAGTAGTAACTATGAAAACGAGAGCAGTATAGCAACTATATTAAATGTGTTATTGCACAATAAACTATATGAGATCACACACAAAACATCCATTTTACATGGGTAGCTTACAGCCTACAGCTCAAATTGATCTTCGAATCCGGCTTCTTCTTCCACTTCATCAACTTGATCTTCTTCTTTTGTAGCATCATCTTGCTGTTTCTAAAGCACAAAAGATAATTAAGCTAGTACGATTATACGTTATTTTAAGCTAAAGATAAAAATGTTGAAACAGTTGTCTCCAGACCTAACCATATATTATCAATTGACACTTAAATCTAATCACTTATTTATCATATCAATTTTTAGCCGATTATAATCCTTATCAATCAATGTTTTTTTCACTACTATAACCAAATACTAATAATCAATGAATCAAAACAGCATTATTCTTAAACGATGTCTACACTTAATTATTTGATTATTACTTTTCTATAGACATAAGAAAGAAGAAGCGTTGTTGTGGGTGGGGGAGAAGCCAGTTTATAGGTGTAGCAATTGCCTACTTTTGATTGGCCAATGCCTTGTGCATGCTGAACCGTGGACAACTAAGACAATCGACAGAGGTTGTAGGTAGCACATGCTGGGACGGATTCAAGGGTCTTTATAACTTGATTATTTTTTTAATTACTTTTTACGTTTATTATCTAATACTACCTTAAACTATAGTTACAATCAATAGGAACGAACGACGGTATCTGAATTACGATGGTATTCACAAGTTAAAGAAAACCAATTTTGTAATTGAATATTTTGAAAAATATTTTATAAATGCTTTTGATAAGAAATTGCTTTCGGTGAAGAAATAAGAATGCCTCGTTTATGAAGCCGTCAAACAACAAGATTTAATTTTGAAACAGATAGTTCAATAGAATTTTAAACACTAAAAAAAAATACATAGATGGTCCAACTAAAATTATAGTTAATATAGGGACACAACTTATTTCTAGTTGGAATAACTAAATAAATAGTTCCACAACTAAATTATTTAGTTAGCCGAGCTAAATGTGTAGTTGCATTACCTACAACTTTAGTTGGACCAACTATGTATTTTTTTTCTTCTGTATAGAATAACTATTTTTTTTACCTTTTATCAATTATTTGATTTTGCAACTAAAAACAAGAGCTGAAAAAAGTTTTTCATCATTAAGCCGCTTAAAAAATTATATGAGGTTGATCATGGGTTAAGAGCGCATAATTAGTTTAGCAGTTTTAAATATTCATAATGAAATTCCTGTAAATATTAATAAAGTTATCGATATATTTCCTAAAACATCTAGGAGGATGAAGTTGGATGTTTATTTACTAACTATTTAAATCGTACCATTGAGTACTCAATGACTGTACTAATTTTATACGTTAGAAAGTGTAGTTAATTTTTACAGTAATATATTTTAGATTACATTAGAATATGTTTTTTTATTATGTTAAGTTTACATCTTGCATATATTATGTATTTTATTTTTTTTTTAGCTCTTTTTTATTCCTAGAGCCGCCCCTGAGCGCATATGCATATCTATAGGCAATCAAAAGTAGGCAGCAAACGGCTGTTAAACTCTGTCTTTTCATTCATATGTCTATACGTTTTTCTGACCTAAGAAGAATCGTTTTTTTGTTTTTGACGTGGATGTATTTTTTATGGAGTACATTCCATAAATTTCCACACGCCTATGATTGCTGTTGTTTACAAAAAACTTACTGCTATATTTGGAATACCTGGAACAGGTGATCAGCTGATTTTTTGTTATCTAGGGGAATATTGATCTTATCACATATCTTTACAGTCGATTCTTTTATCAATTCTCTTATTATAAACAAATTTAATTTAAAAAAAATATAACAAGTTCATGATCCATGAGCGTTCCTTAACAGAGGAGAAATGTTTAAAAAGTCTAAAAATATTTCGTGTTAAAAAGTAATTGGTATTTACATCTGTGCTGAGTTCAATAAATTCCCTCTCTGCCTGTTCAATCAATCTTGCCACGGCTTCAGCCATCTTGGCTTGATTATCTTTGCCAGTCGTTTCTTTAGGCCCGGTTTTTGCTTTTAATTTCATCTCACGATGTTTGGCCTCAATAATTTTCTCACGTTTGGTTTCTCGATCGAACATCTACAATTCAAATTCTATCCATGAATTAATAAACTCGTATTTCCGTAGTTATATCGGTTTTAAACAATCATTTAAATATTTTCACAAAGTCTACAAATAAGATGTGTTTTCATATTATAGAAAAATAAAATAAAAATAATTATTGTAATTGAATCTTATGAATTTATCTTTATTTTCTTGAACACTTTTTTCACATAGTAATGCTAATGTTATAGAACTAAAAATCTGAGTTTTAACATAAATTATTTACTTATTTACAAAGTTATATAAATATCAGCATACATTACTTAGTTGTAAACAATCTGTACTTACAGCAGCCATTAAGGCTTTATCGTTTTTACCAGGGGTCACAAACCAATCGTTCATTTCTATTACATATGTTTTACCGCAGTCATCGCCTACAGCCAATAAAGCTCCGTTTTCGTGACATTTAATACAGTTTAAGCTTTTGTCAGATACCTAAAAACCGAGTAAAAATATCATTTTACTCCCAATATCGGTGCATACGAACTGCGCACAGAACTCAAATTTGTTTTTAAATCAATTATTAAGGTATCCCAACTATGAGCGCATCTTGTGTGTTTTATAGAATACGCCCAGTTGGCTGAGTAAAATGTTTTTTTTAATATAGTATGTTATGTTTAGCTTGGGTAATATCGTTATTATTCACGGTCCCGATCAATAGACCCACGCCAGCTCCTTAATACCTATCTCTGTTGATAAATGTTGGGCACACCTTGTTCTAGCTGATAAAAATTTGGTGCAGTCCGAGTGTACTCTTTATCTAACCTTAATTGTGAGTATGGGATCTTTCTGTTTCTGTAAAACGTCCCAAGCATCTAGACAACCGTCGGCCCGAATTGTATAAAACACCGAAGGTTTAGTTTCACTCCAAGCGCCATCAGTTAATCTCATTTCGTGTCGCCTAGTGGTAAAATTAACTAAATATTGAGCTGCGTGTATAATGTTAGCCGATTTTTTTTTTTCAAAATTGGTTTGTTATTTACTTTGACCACATGATTGGCGAGTCTTTGACGTCTTCCGACCATAATCGCACTTGCCAGTCGCCAACTGTTAAAAAGTTTTTCAAAAACGTAGGACTTCGTTGAGCCGCGTATACTGGACCAGCGTGACAATTATATATACCTGATATTTTTTCAAATACAGTTTTACCCTTTCGATTTCCATTGAACACCTGTCCAGTTTCAGTACCTATCTGAAAAATGGATTAATTATGTATGCAATCAAACAACATTTTCCTCCCAAAGGTCAGGTCGGAGCGACTCTTAATATTTCCCATGTAGATTTTGAGTAATACGATATTTATTAATCGATGAAAGAAGGGAGGAAAATGCAATAGTAAAACAAGAGAAATCATAGTAGAGAGATTTATTAGTTTAGATACACTGAGGAAGAAGTGAAGTAGGAAACATCCACCATGTGATAAAGTCGCATGGAGATGTGTGTAAAGAAAGTAAAGAAATGGTGAAGGAACCTTGTGGAGATATTGGAATTGACTAGACTCATTTGTGTAGCGAATACGGTAAAGAACTATAAAAAAAATCAAATCGCAAATGATTTATAATCACACACCATAAACCGAATCGGAATTGCAGGATCGTAATCCAAACAAGATACACCATGTGATCGCGCCCATTTCTCCCATTCGGGATCATCTGTTTTCTCGCTTTTGGACAAATCTAAAAACAGAACTTCCGTCGGTTCCGTTAGTTTTCTCGTGTCCCACCACATAACCTAGGCAATACGATAGATTTTTTATATATTAACAACATTAAAATTAAAAAAGTATTAAAAATTGAAGTCACTAAAACAAAAAGCATGGTAGATATAAAAAATTTAGATACCTGACCGTCAGCCGCGCCTGTGTAGAATTCCGTACTAGTTTTTGAATGAATCCAACGGAGACTTCTGACTGGATCGCGGTGGCTGCTTTTAACGTTGCTTATTCCGACACTCGCAGAACTTTTACGAATATCCCAATAACAAACCTGACCGCTTACAAGACCGCCGGCTAAGCACTGAGAGTCTCGGTTATTAAACTCAAGCACAGCAACAGGATACTGTGATTCGATTGTGAGATACGGAGTAGTCGAGTCCTCTGCAAAATAATATGAATAAATTAAATGATTTTGTTATTAAGACTCAAGTAGTAAAATTACAAATTATAAGTGTGATTTACCCAAATCGAATATTAGTGAATTTGGACTATCGAGTGGATCTGCTTTTTGGAACTCCAAGTTGGCATAACTTATCGCTACTAACGAACCTTGATCAGGAGACCAGGATATGTTTTGTACCGGTCTTGTTGAAGCGAATGTGTCGGACATAATAGCCACCGTCCGGAAAGATGGTGCTATTGTATGCAACAGCTGGCAGTCCGGGTCGATGAAATATGGTTCGTAAATATCGATCGAGTTGTTTTGGTGGATGAAATGTTCAGTGAGCTACATACATTTAAATCGTTTTTGATCAGAAACTACACAACACATAATCCGAGTGTTATTAATGAAAAAAAAAATATTAAAGTCAATTTAGAAAAACTTTCGTAATGTGAATAATACATTGAATATTCGCATTAACCCTTTCAGTCATCTTGTACATTGTAATGTACAGACATTTTAATTAATTTTCATTCCGTTTAGATTAACCTTAAACGCGATCTAGCGGTAACTGTGAATTCGTAAAATTGTTTAGAACCAGAATAAAATATAATATTGATTATATGTTATCAATGTTTTTAATAAATCTCTCTTTAAACAAAAAAAATTTGATAAAGACGTTATCGTATTTTTTCCCGCGCTTTTTTGTTCTTGTAGTAATCAATTTATGACGGTAAATGTTGTAATTTTTTTCCCCTGCTCTGGACACACTGATTATTCATTTCCCGCCGGAATCATTGTCATATGTTGTTTATTTTGAAATTTAGGCGGCTTAAGAGGTATGTACATTGTAATGGCCATTGGGACTCACCGTCATAAAAATTACAGATTTTTATTATTTTACACAAACCGTCACGTTGTTTATCGTTTCTTGTTAATTTTGTACAAAAACGTAATATTTTTTGTATCTTTATAATAATACACGCATTGTGAAATATTTTTAAAAATGAGTAAATTAACTAATAAAGAATTAATCGATATACTGGATGGAAACATCTCAGAATTAAGCGACTTCGAAGATAGTTATGTAGAAGATGATGTCGAAGAATTAAATTTTTTATTAGCCGATTTTGACGAGATTGAAAACTTCGAATTGCCTGTTGACGAGACCTCTAATAATGAAACTGACACAGATGATGATGACGAGCAAGTAAGTGAAACTGTCCAATCAGAGTGGTTTACTGTGGAGAAAAAAAATATAAAATGGACACAAAAACCGTTTAATCCTCCTTCAATAAAAATAGATAATTTACTACAATCTCCGTGTCCTGAAAAACTTTTAAGCCCTGTGGATTATTTTTCAAAATATTTTGATACAGTAGACTTCGAAAGTATGTCTTTTTTTACTAATTTATATGCCGTGCAAAAAGGCACACGTAATTTCAAGCCCACTACTTCTGAAGAAATACAATATTTTATTGCTATTCATTTAATTATGGGCACATTGAAATTTCCTCGCGTGAGGATGTACTGGGAGGAAAAACATACATAAAAATAGTTGCTAACACAATGTGTAGGAATCGATTTTTTGCACTTAGAAGTCATTTCCATGTTATCAATAATATGGATATCCTTCCAACAAACACTGATAAATTTATCAAAGTTCGGCCCCTTTTTGACGCATTGAAAAAAAGGTGTTTTGAATTACCTGTTGAACTGAATGTATGTATTGACGAGCAAATAGTACCATTTAAGGGTAATGTATCAGTCAAAAAGTACATCCGAGGAAAGCCTAATCCGTGGGGATCAAGCTTTTTTTGTTATGCGGTGAAAATGGTGTACAATTTTTTGTTGTATCAAGGTAATATGGCCGAAGTATCTGAAGAGTTGAAAAAAAAATTTGGTCTGGGTGGTGCAGTGGTATTAGTCTTATCCGAACACTTGAGAAAGAACAGTCATTATTTAACTATGGACAATTATTTCACTTTGTTCAATTTATTTTATACTCTCCAAAAAAAGGAAATATATGCTACCGGTACTATTCGACCAAATCGTTATTGCAACCCTCCGTATTTAACCGACAAAGTTATGAAACAAATGGTACGAGGGACGACGTTTGAAGTCACTTCTAATGTACCAGACGTCAATATTGGGCTAACTAAATGGTACGACAACAAACCGGTTTATTTGTCCTCAAATGTTATAACGTCAGGAGAAGTTGATTATGTAAAAAGGTGGGACAAAAAAGATCGTAAATATGTTGATATTGAAAGACCAGAAATTGTGAGACACTATAATAAAACAATAGGTGGAGTTGACAAGCATGACCAGCTTGTCAGCTTTTATCGCTGTTTTATTAAGTCAAACAAATGGACTTTGCGCATGGTTAGCCATGCCTTTGACATGGCTGTAAGTAATTGTTAGTTAGAATACATAGAAGACACAAAACAATTAAAAACTAAAAAAAATACAATTTTGGATTTACTAAGTTTTCGCATGAGTTAATTTATATGGGAAAAATTACGACACCTACATCAAAAAAAAAGAAGAAGACCATCAAATACCCCATCATCGGTTCAAAAAGTATTATTTTCGCCAGCTCAAAAAATTCAACTAGTCGACTCGCGTCCTTCAACATTTGTTCAGCATGACGGCGTGGGTCACCTACCCAAATTTGATAGTAGAAAGAAGGCTACTAGATACAAGTATGAAGGCTGCTCTAAAGGACGAACTCATGTTTTTTGTGAGAAGTGCAACGTACATTTATGTTTTACAACAAAATCAAATTGTTTTAATGCATTCCATTCTTAAATATTTTATATTTTGTTTTGTGTTTTATTTTGTATTTGAAATTAATACCAAAGAGGTAATTTTATTTGTTAAGAACTGTATATTTTAGTTACCAATTTATGGTTTTGGTTACTGAGTTTTTTAGTTATTAAGTTTTAGTTTTTTAGTTTGGAAAAAGTTTTATTTTCATGTTTGTAATTGTTATAACTTATAAAATATTTATTGTTTTATATTTACCATTTTAAAATGTATTAAAAAGACAATAATATATTAAAACGAGTGTGTTTGAAATAAAACAAATTGTTATGTACATTTTTAACAATTAATTCGATCTTATACATTTATATTCCAACTTTTTTTTATAAAGAATAATTTTGTGTAAAAAAATAATAATCTGTAATCTTTATGATGGTGAGACCCAGTGCACATTACAATGTACATGGTACAATTTTTGGGAAGGGGGGTTGTAAAAATTTTGAAATTTTTTTTGGAGCTTATTTAATTAGTAAATAATAAAAAAATGTAAAAAAAAAAAATGTTTTTCCTCAAATAAAAAAGTCTGGACTGAAAGGGTTAAGAAAAATTATACTTATAATTAATTTATGGAAGAAAAATATTTTTTAGTTATTAGCAGTTTATAAACTGAAATTTTATTTTTTTTAAATAAAATATTTAGTAAATAAATATTTTACTAATTTTGCAGTAACTGGAAAAATATAGTAATATTTTGGTCAAACACAACGTAAAAATGTTCCTTATAGTTTGTCTGAGTTATTTTATATAGGTAACATCTAAATAAATGATTCTTCAAATAATGATAACTGCTAACACAAATGTATCTTCACACTGAATTATTATACACTCATTTGATATATTAGCACACATGATCGTCATTTTTTTATATCCGCCTTCTAGATAAATTGCTAAATAAGCCACTGCCAGGTGAGACTTGTATAAAAATTGTTGAATAATTGTTAATCCTTACTTACGTTGGACATCTGTATTACTGCTTGCATGTACGATTCGTCTTTTTCTGCTTTTTTCCTAAACCTGACCACCTGTTCTGGGTCGTCAATATTAACGTCTTTGGGCCATCCACCTTCCACGTGGTTTATACCCCGTTCCGCGTACTCTGCACGAATGGTGTTGATCTAAACCGGGCAACATAAAATAACTATTATAATTATGACCATCTGTCGAATTATGTTATTTACATCGTGTAGGGACATGTCGACGGCGATCAACGTGCTCCTGTGACACGGGTTTTTTGCTATCCATTGTTCTTCCAGACCGGGTTCCGGGATTAAGTTCTCTAGCAACTTGGGACCCCAATTATTGAATTTACATTGCCTACCGTATTCTCGTCTACACTTGGCGTACGTGTAACTAGAGTACATGTTGTATACAATAACATCCAATCCTACGGTGTGTGCAATAAATGCGACTAGCAGGAACTATAGCAGAGTGCGTCTGTTTTTCAAACACTTGTTCGTCACCCATGGTAACACGGCGACTGTGTATCTTGCTACAGTGGTTTTATTTATTGTGATACTACCTTTGACCTTACTTGACTCAGCTGTAGCCTGTAAGAAACAATACGATATTAGTAGGACATTAATATTATGGATTTTTAATACTTTAAGTTAGAATTCTGATAAATGTTTTTTGGTTATTGGCTATGTTTAACTATGTGTAGCATCCGACTTAGAAATTAAGTAATATTAACAGGCCCTTTATTAAAAGCTAAAGAAAAAACGAGCTCTCTATACATGTGATTTATCAGATTTCGATACAGCAAAACTTAAAAAAAAACATTTATCTCAAATTTGGTTCAAACTTCATGTATATCTCAACTGTTCAATTATTTTATACTATTCATTTGTGTTCATCGAAAAACATTATAAATACAAATTCTAAATATGCTAAGCGTAATGTATATGTTCAGATAAAATGGCAAGCAGCTAATGTATCCACATTCGACGAAAGTCATAAGTAGTAAGTCTGATGATTGTAAGAATTTAAATGTATTATTTCATTAATAATTACCACTGTTGGTAACATTAATATCTTGTTGGTAACTTGGGTGGTGAGCAGCCTCAAACCCCTTGTTACCAATTAAATGTTAAGTTATAAGGTTGTATGTTATTTAAAATACATATCTTTTAATATGCGTATGATTATCGTTATATTTATTTATTTTATTAGTATAAATATATATTAAGACTTAATTAAGAACAAATCTAGTTGACCGGGCACCTTATTTATAGAACATGCAGTTTAGTTTAAAGTCGATTTTTTCAAATTTTTTTTCTTCAAAATATGTGTTTTTTACGCTTAAAATAATGGTGCAATCCGAAATTAATTATCATACTTCCTTTTCAAGTTAGAATCATAGTCACAGTAATGTTTTTACCCGTTAATATATAAGTGAAAAAAAAAAAAAATTATTTCGAAGTCATCACTCTCGTCGTCAGAAGTATTTCTAGAATTGGCATAATCTTCGCCAGCTTCGAATTCTGACGTTGGATTATACAATTTCCTAGCGTATTTAAAAAATGTCAGCAAGGGACCTAGTTTTAAATCCGACACCGTTTCAAAAACATAACCTTAGCCAAATAACCTGCATAAGATTGTTTTTTTCTGCAATATTGCGACAGGAAGACTTTAGCGTGTCGCCACATTCCTTCAACATTATTGGTGTGGGCACCAGTCTCGGGTTCTTTGAAGCAAATTGAATGGTTAACAGTAATGTAATTAAAGCCCTCGTCTTTTAAACAATCACAAATCTAAAAATAATACTATTTAATAAAATACATTCGTTTTTCTACATTTTTTTATTTTAAAGTTTTCCTGACTTAGTGCCATCTAAACTTAGAGTTAATTTACAATAAAGATATGTCGGTTTTAAATAAGATCACTATTTACAATAAAAAGAAAAAGAAAGAAAACATATACAGCCGAATTCATAGATTACTCTAAAGAAAACCTTAGAAAAATCTTAGCGAAATTATTATTTTACAAATTCATAAAAATTAATTCTAAGAAATGTCTTAGATTTTTCTTAGGCGAAATTTGCCATGAATAATGTCTTATTCATAAAATTGACTAACTATAAAGTTCAGATTTTACTACGTATTTTCTCGTTATAATATAAGGTTAGTCGGTACCTACCTTCAAGGAACATTTTGGGGTATTTTTATATTTTTTTGCAACGTAACTATAAAAAGTTATACACGTAATAATACAAAATGGATTTATTTGATGATTTTTTAAATTTTTATGATGGTATATCTGAAGTATCGCGAGTGCCAAAACGTTACATTAGAGATATGGAAAATCCTATTAACTGTTACAATGATAATGAATTTTTAGAAAGATTTAGATTTCCTTAAGCGATTGTTTTTAATACTTTAATGCCTATGGTGTTTAATGTTGAGCCATCTAATGACCATCGAGGATTACCAATAAGTCCCATACTAAAAATGTTAACTGCATTACGTTTTTATGCATCTGGTTGTTATCAAGTAAGTATTCAACCAACTAATAATAATAATATAACAATATAATTTTCAATATGCTAAAACGTTATAATTTTAAAGACATTTACAAATGTTCTCATACTATTTATTTTGAAATTCTCAAACTCTTTATAAATTACTGAAAAATACGAAGAACAGATTATTATTATTTATGTATTATTATTATATTTATAGAAAATAAATGGAGATATGTATGGTTTAAGTCAACCAACCATAAACCGCATTGTTAAAGAAATGTCATCTGCTTTTTGTCGTTCACTTAGGACTTGGGTCCATTTCCCAAATACCAGAAACCAAAGAACAATTTTATAAAATTGCAAAATTTCCTGGTGTCGTAATGGTGATTGATTGTACACATGTTCCAAATAGTAGTCCTGGGAGTGATAAAGTTGAACTTTTTAGAAATCACAAAAATTGGATGTCATTAAATGTTTAACTTATAGCAGGACCACAATTGCAAATATTTGACGTTACTAGATGGCCAGGATCAGCACATGATTCTAGAATTTTCGAAAATAGTCGTGAATGGAGTTTAATTTCTCAAGGGTGGGATGTAGATTAAATAAAATTATAGTAAATGTGTACTATGTTTTAATTAATAAATTACAGGCACTTTAATGGTATATGTCTAGCAGATGGTGGTTATGCACAAACTAAATTTGTCTTTACTCCACACCCAAATCCGCAAACCGAGGCAGAAAAAAAATCAGGAAGCACATATAAAGTCAAGAAATGTTATTGAAAGGGTTAATGGAGTATTCAAAAATCGTTTTCGATGTTTGACTAGAAAATTAGGAACGCAGTTACACACAACTACTAAAATAATAATTTCTTGTGTAATTTTACACAATTTATGTGTCCATTATAAATTTAATACTGATCATTTTACTTATGACTTAGTTATTTCTTAGAAAAAACTTACTACAGTTTTTTCTATAAATACTGTTTTCAAAAATGTACTAAGAATTTGTTTTACTAAGTATTTTCTTAGGGTAATCTATGAATTCGGCTGTTTGTATTGGACAGGGCCACAGTTTATATACGATCCACCGGACACCTGGGTATCTCAACCCGCAACAATACAGGTGAACGAGCTGCCTGAGACTCGCCTTGTGTCCGTTGTAGTACAATCGGATCGAACGTCCGAAGAATAGTGTACACGTTGGTTTTTCGTCATATAACCGTATGCTTCGTGTAGTAGCTTATACTCGTCGTTTTCTTACTCGCTGCCGCCGTCAGACAATCCCATCCGTACTTGCGTTATCTCAGACCGAGCTTGATGTTGCCTTAAGAACAGTTGTTTTAGATTCGCAACGTTGTTTTTTTTATAGAGTTGACGCTAAAGCTGCCGACCGGCAAGTCTGTTTCGTCTAAGCCCAAAGCACACTTATTAGACCGGTGGTCAAACTAGTTGTTTTGCCAATCAATCCTTGAAGTCCTCAATGTCACACCTTATCGGTCGTTTCAATGCGACTAATCAAGTTAAATTATTTATTTATTTTTTGTTTATTAATTGTTTGTTTAGTTGAGTTATTTAAATTATTATTTATTCATTTACTTGCATTTTTAAAACTAATTATTTGATTAATTTATTTACTTTTTTCATGTTTTAATACGCCTAATGCCCACACCCTGATGCACCCACTACATCCAGCTGTGAGACGCCAAAATGTCTCCCAAGGGAGAGCATGTTTGAACACGGTCGGCGCGCTCAATCAATGTTGGACACCCCGAGTGGAAATTTCGGTCAGGATTGGATCAGAATCGGATCCGAATAACCTGATTTCAAGTCCGAATTGGATCAGGTTACTTGATCAGATTCGGATTGAAAATGTAACGCCGGCACGACTCCGGACCTTGTAAGGTAAACCGGATCCGGAATGAATAAGGGACCATCCAAAATGGGTCCGATTAGTTACTCGAATCGGACCCGATTAATTACGCGAATCGGACTCGATTAAATACCTGAATTGGATCCAACTAAATACTGGAAACGGATCAAAGTAATATAAGGAAGTCATATCAAAATCTGAATAAAAAATTTAAAATAATTTTGTATATCTTATATTTTAAATTTATATATACATAAGGAAATATAGGCTGATAAATATACGCTACAATTATTTCCATCTAAATTGTCAAATAAAAATAATAAAAACAAAAAAACAAATTATAACATTAGCAAACACAAATTTGGTAATGAGAAAACAAACAGACATTATTTTTACGCCGTTTTACGACATCAATCAACCCACCAATTGACATGATTAAGTTATTTGTTTTGGACATAATGCACCTTGGGTGGTTGGGCATAATGAAAAAATGTCTTGTCGACACATGGATGAATGGAGACATTGCTGACGCAAAAATCAGTCGAGCTCAGAGAGACCAGTTTTCAGTTTATTTATTGCAACTTAAAAGTCAGGTCCCAGAAGAGTTTCAACGTTCTACTGCATCACTGACAAATGTTGCCAAGTGGAATGCCAATCAGTTCAGATTTTTAGCTGCTTATGCAGCACCAGTAATTTTAAAAAAATGTTTAAAAGAAAAATATTTTAAACATTTTATGTTATTTTACATAGCTATGCGGATTTTAAGTTCCAGAGAAACGGCTTTTGTTTGGAATTCTCAAGCTAAATCGCTACTGAAAACATTTGTTCTTCTAAGTGAAGAATTATATGGGAAAAAAAATCAAGTACTTAATGTTCACAGCCTTGTTCACGTTGCTGACGATGTTATGAATATGGGATGTACCTTGAGTGAGATCACTGCATTTCCCTTCGAGAGTGAATTGCATAAAATTCAAAGCCTATTAAGAACTGGATATCGCCCAGTACAACAAATTTGTCGTTTATGAG